GAATTTCTTCGAATAGGTGAAGAATTGTGCAATTCACTAGTTTCGTATGCGTTACAACTCCTCCATCAACTTTCGTCAAGCGTCCATGTATATGCAATGAACTCTTACTCGGCAGGAGGCATAAATCTTGATGCTGAACGGCGATGCGAATTTCATCGTTGTTATTGAATGTTGCCGATGCGAAAGGTTGATGTGCATGAATCTCATAGTGGGCGATAGATTCATCAAAGACGATGGGCTTTTGAATTTTCAGGATCTCCTCCATGGTTTAAGGTGGCAGATAACAATGCAACAACAGAGAAAACTACGAATTTTCTTTTTCACTGATTTTTTTTTCTTTTTTTTGGACTTTGAGCCCTAAACTTTTGAGGAATTTTAGATTCCGCGGTGTTAACGTTTTGAGAGGTCGTTGATGACTACTTGGAATTGAGAATGGTGATTCACTTTTATAACGACCACCAGACTTGGTATTGAAAATGATACCCATATTAGGCTTTGATGTGTAATCTAATTGTTATAACCTCTTCTCTGAAATTTACCAATTGACCTTCTTGATCAAGAATTTTCATTTGAAGATGATCTATTGCCTGTACAGCGATCGGAAGGTAAATGATATTCGATGCCACTTCGATGATGTTATATCCTGGTGGCACAGTCGGGAAGAATTCATGTATGGTGTGTACTCGTTGTTCATTGATGTATGCTCCAGTAGTTACACTCAACTCGTAGTGAATTGACATTGAGAATCGTCACTGGCGAGTCAGATTCGTGACTGATATGAGGTGGAAGAATACTTTGTGTGAAACCTAATAACCGTCCAATTGAATCTTCTGGAAGAAAATTTATCGGGTGACTGCACTTGATTATACTCTTCAGTGTTATTGTTGGGTTTAAGGCTGATATTTATGTTATAATCAGCGAGCTTCTCAACTAAGACATTTTCAATGTCTTTAATTTCGTAGCTTCCTGTGGGTATTTCAGTAACTCTATCGGCCACATAAAACTTGTTATTCCCAATGTCAATATTAGGGATGGAATTGAACGTTAATAGTTCAGCCAATCCTAGAGTATAATTTTTCCATGGTGATAATTCAATTGGAGGAAAATAATGAGCTTCTAACATCGAAGAGGTGCCGGATAATGTCAATGTGAAAGAGTCACTCATCGCAGTTGATATCCGACTGATGCTTACAGAGTAACGTATTTAGATTTTATATTATTTCTCCGTTGAGAAATTTCAAACACAGATGTCCACACACTACTGTATCATAATCTTGATATCATTCATGATTATATTTCACAATGCTACCAACACCGAAGTAATCTAGCAAATCTTGAAGTGGACAAAGGTTACCAAAACTATCAAAATAGATGATTTCATCTTTCCGTTTCTTATATGCGACCCAATGCGTTCCAAGTCCATCCTTATCATCAAGATTGACAATGCCTGATTCATATTTGTGGGATTCTCATAACCTTGGCGTATTTCATCAGGTCGGCATCGGTGAGAGCTCGGTGTGGTAGCTTTATGCGTTTTTTAAGTGAAGACCCAAGCCTTTCTTGTAGGGTTACAAGTACAATCTCTTGCCTAATGCGATGGACTCCATTGTTTGATTATGTCTCATACTCTCCTGAAGAGCTTTCTTAGCTGCATTGGCGTCGTTGATGGCTTTTGCAATACCTGCTGCCCCACCAGCTAGAGCTCCGGTGGCACTCAAGCTTGCAAACGGTGGTATCAAGAAGGGTATTACACCTCCAATTTTGGTGGGCACAGGTAGAACACGAGGTAATCGCACTTGCTTTTTGCCACCAATCTTTTTCACTTCGGCGCGTGCGCCTTTGAGCGCTGTTTTGATAGCGTCAGTTCCTGGATACATAGAAGTTTTGGCAGCTTGTAGAATTTGTCGTACGGCTCTTTTTTTCTTTTTTCCACATCCACCACCACTACGTTTTCCTCTCTTTTTCTTCTTCTTAACCCCTCTACTTGGTTTTATCCCCATGCCTAGGGAAGGTTTTGCTTTCATAGTGTTAGCTACACCCCAAGCGGCAGCTTTCTTACCAAGACCTGCGTCTTTCGATAAGACTCGTTTTCAGGCCTTTTCCGTGAGAACTTTATCTGCTTCGTGTCGTGCAGTGAGGTTATCTCGATTTTTTGAGTAAGTTATGTCGTGTTCTCTGCAGGCAGCGTCAAGTGGATTAATGCCAGGGTCACCTCGTTTCAATCGCTTCAGTAGCTTTGTACCAAGACCACAATATTGATATCCAGGTATATGTAATTCCACAGGAAGTTTATTGATGATATTGTTCACTAAACCTTTACCTCGACGCCTTCTCTTACGTTTGTACACATCCATATCCAAATGAGAACTGACTAGTTATACAATAAATAGCGTGTATTTATAGGTTGCTGTGTCAGTCACTGGTAGACCATAGAGGGGTATAGAACTTCGTGGTTCGTTATACTCTTATTGACGATTATAGGCTTTGAGGATCGGGCAGTTGTGATCATTATCCAACGTCAACGGCTACCGAATGAATGCCACAGATATCTATAAATCGCCAGTATTTATAATCCTCGAATCAGTCATTAACCATGAAGTTGAAGAAGCAAAACATTCAGCTACCAATAATGAATTTCGATGAATTGGTACAAAAGAAGAAAAGTGCGAAAAAGCGCCATGGACCTCTATTACCTAGCAGTGTACGTGCAGTTATTTGTGGGCCTTCCAATTGTGGGAAGACAAACGCTCTACTGACACTCATAGTCCATCCTAACGGTTTGAGATTTGAGAATATCTATGTATACTGAAAATCTCTTAATCAACTCAAATACCAGTTACTTGAACGTCTGCTCTCTCCTGTTAAGGGAATAGGCTATTTTCCATTCAGTGAGCATGATGAAGTCATTAAACTAGAAGATGCTCGACCAAATTCTATCATGATTTTCGATGATATAGCTTGTGAAAAACAGGATAATGTGCGAGCATCCTTCTGTATGGGACGACATAGAGAAGTCGACAGGTTCTATCTTTGCCAAACGTACGCTCACGTACCCAAACATTTAGTGCGGGATAATACTAATTTTCTTATACTCTTTCGTCAAGATGATATGAATTTGAGACATATTTATGAGGATCATGTAAATACCGATATGTCATTTACTGAGTTCAAGGATCTATGCGCCAAGTGTTGGAATGAAGGCAAATACAGTTTCATTGTGATTGATAAAGACAGTGAAATTCATGAGGGCCGATATTGAAAGGGATTCGATAGTTTCATAAAGAAATAAATATTCACAATTCGAAGAAAATGAGAGTAGTTGTAGCCTGACTGTACAAGTGTCAATATGCAGAGCGAAAATTTCAAAAAGGAAACAAATATCTTGCAGAATATTACTCAAGCGAGTGATGCTATTCGTCGCAAGCATAAAATGATAAAATTGGGTAGAGAGACCACTGAGAAAGCTATGAGTGAAGTGCTTAAGCCAGTGATAACTCCTCTCGAGAAATTGGTAGACCAATCAGTAACGAAAGAATCTTCACATGGAAGGAAGAAAGAGAAGGAAACAACTAGTACTTCTATACGAATGAAGAAGGAGGATAACGATGACGACTTTGGTGACTCTTCTGAATATCAAACTCTACAAGATCTCCAATTGGACTTAGAAGAACCAAATTCAAGCACTCCCATGAAGAAGATCTCACCAATAAAACCTATAACTTCAACTGATCCTATTTCATCAAGTACGCTGGAATCTTCTGTAGCTCCACAAAAGCTTTTTCAAACGTATTTGGATCGCTATAATAAAGATCGTGAAGATCCCGTTTTGGATACAAAATTTGGCGTTCGTTTCGTGAAAGACGGTATGAAGATAGGTGAATCTTTAGTCACATTTCATGGCAATTCAACGACCCTCAAGGATAAGGAATATACATTGACTTCAGGTTTGATTGAATTGATCTTTAAAAAATCACCTGACATGAGTCTCATAACCGAAACCGATAAACATACTTACGGTAATATTATACGGAGTACGAATGCACATCGACTGTACTATAAACCAGATGGAGCTTTCGACCAAGTAATATTAAAAAATATCATACCATCATTGAAGATCTCATCAAACCTAAAAAAAATGGAACAGCTCTCCCTCATCATATGATTGCTTCAGTAAAACCTAGAAACATGGACTATGTGTACTGGGATGATCCCAATGAACTGGTGGATAGACTGCGACTACTAATGGCATCACAGTCAGCTGGGAACTTGAGTCACACAAATGAAATTATGGCAATAATGGAAGAGTTGCGTGAAGCTGGGATCATTTATTAGACTGCACAGATGAGAATTTATCATTTCAAACATGAGTGTTGACGTATTCGGACGGCAATTGAGCAGTACCCGAAGTACTGTAAAGGCTTCTGATAGTCGTGGTCCCCCAGGAGAAGGATTTAAAGTTACTTCTGATGGACAATATGATATGGATCATCGCAGACTGTGTAATCTAGCCGATTCTGTGGAAGAAAATGACGCAGTCTCCTTAAAAATAATGCGCAATATGATAAAAGTAGAGATGCGTCTTATATATAATGTTACTGGACCAATGGCTGGTAGACTTGATGGGATCGATACCATGATCCAATCATTCCAAGAGAATTTTCGAGAAACTATGAGACAAAGACGTGTTAGTGAGGAGGAAGTACAAGAACATTTGAATGATCATTCCAAGCTCATTAATCAGTTGAGTGATGAGGTGACAATACTGAAGGAATCTGTTGCATGTGAGATCAAATCAATAGTCGATGGTATTCATTCAATCATAACGGATCAATTGAAAAGAATACAAGGCGCAAGATTTCAAGATTTGGCGTTGCGTAATTCTGAAGTAATCAGTAATTTAGATGAACGTTTGATTGCATTCGAAAATGGACAAAAAGGCAGTAGTAGTAGAAGAGCTTCATAGACCACTTCGAAGGAATTATCCACGTCGGCATGTTGATATGCGTGGAGTGGATGAGAACTGGCAAGCAGATCTTGTTGATATGACGGCCTATTCCCGCGAAAACAAAGGCTACAAATATCTTCTAACAGTCATCGATATATTTTCAAAATATGTCTGGGCTGTGCCAACTAAAACTAAGTATGGGAAAGATGTGACAAATGCTATGGAGTCTGTACTGAAACAAGGTCGTATTCCAAAGAAATTACATGTGGATCGTGGCAAAGAATTTTACAACAGAGAGTTCAAAAAGCTCATGAAAGATTATGGGATTACCATGTATTCAACCTTTAGTAACCTCAAAGCTTCCATTTGTGAGCGATTCAATCGTACACTCAAAGAAAAAATGTGGAAGCAATTCAGTTTACAAGGAACATACGAGTGGATTCCCATAGTTATGACTTTAGTTCAATCCATGAAAAGTACCTTTTACGTCATGTTTATAGGAAACTGAAAGCTCATAACACAACGAAAATTAAGTTCAAAGTTGGAGATAAGGTACGCGTCAGCAAGTACAAGAATATTTTTGAGAAGGGCTATACACTCAACTGGACAACGGAGATATTCACAAGAAATGAAGTTGTGAATACCAATCCTGTAACCTATAAACTCATTGATTATGAAAATCAACCAATTGAAGGTGGATTCTATCAAGAGGAACTGACAAAAGTGATATATCCTGATGTTTATCTCATAGAAAAAGTACTTCGGAGACGTGGAAATAAAGTTTTCGTCAAGTGGTTGGGCTTCGATAATGCTCACAATAGTTGGATCAATGACGATGATTTGTGATTTTTGTAAAAATGTACTTCTGTTATTGAGAAATAAAAACTTGATTTTGTAACGAGATTTTCTCGTTACGGGTTGAAATCCCCTTAAAAAGATACGTGAACTCTAAAATTGAGACATGAGGCGACATCTAGAGGCGGCTGAAGAAAGCCGCGACTAGATGAACTGAGCGACAAACCGATGAAAGACCTAAGGCATAGCGGTTATGGGTGAAACCGCGACCCCTGGAGGTCTGGAGGACGTTACTAGACTATCGCTATTTTGGAATTCGCCCAGCATGTGCTAGGGGAAAAGGGGCCGACGTACAGGCTGTCCAACTGGGCGATTCCATAGGCTATGTCAGAGTAGACTAGGGACCAACGGCCAGGTGAGAGGACTGGTGCCCCCGGGATCCCGTCGGGTTGATTGGTGGGGATAGGGTAACGGAATGACCTATCGTCGCTGAGATATCCAGACTAGGGGGAGAAGGCCCTAGTAAGATTCTGAGTTAGTCGAACGCGGACGCTCGAGCGGGGAAGTCGAAAGGATTTCTCCGAGATATACTGTGGTGTTGGCTTGAAAGATGGCCACGGGAATGGTGGGCGAATAGCTCAGCGCAGCCAGGTGCATAACTGATGGTAGCGAGCGTAGGGGGATGCTCCTGCATCCCCCACAAACGGGAAAAGAGTTATTTCGGAACTCTTAGTGACGACTTTGTTGTTTCCGGCGTTATCCGGCTCGGCGAAACAAATGTCGTGCACATGGGCCCGTGGGTCTGGAGTAGAGATCGTCCTCCTGTCGACCCGACCATGTGCCGACATTCGAGTACCCGGAGACGGTGACGTGCGATGACCGAAGCGGTAACTGGTGGCCGAGAGTGTGGGTGGTCGTGAAGTGGGTAACAGGGTTCCACTTTGGTCGGATCAGCCTCTCGGCGTCCCAGGCTCTGAGGAGTCCCGGCTGATTCGCATTTAATTCTGAAAACCCTCCCGAGTCGAAATACTCGGGAGGCGAAAGCCTACTGAGAGAGTGAAAAACCCTCCAGGATGAGAGTAAATTCACTTTACATGGATGATTAGGCCGTGAGGCTTAATATCCAGCCTGAAATAGTGGCTGGTGACGTTTGGCATAAGATACTCCTGGTGGACCTCGCCCACTCTACCGTGTCACACTGATGCTAGCTGGGCAACCCTTTGCCCGGCCACAGAAGTCCTCTGAGTGGACGAGTTTGCCTCAGAGGCCGGTTTTCGTCGAACCTCCCGTGAAGGTTCGGCTGGCGCCCGACTATTGAGCGATAGAGACGGCTAAAAAGTAGTTTGGATTTTTCCTGGGTGAACAACCCGGGAAAATATCCTTACAATTTTTTATTACATATAAATTACACTTTTATTTATTGAAATAACTATATGGTACAGTATCAGTTAGATTTGTACAAATTATTCTCTTATCACCCTGCCAAGTTAAAGCTAATTTCCTTTGATGTACAGTATGTACCTCATGTTTTTTACTTCTAATTAAATATTGCGATTTCACAAAATCCTCACAATTGAAAAGACAATCTTTATAATCATTGAAAGTAATAGTTTTCAAAGTGGACCTTTTCACACCTTTTGCACGCTTCTTTTCTGTTATATTTTCATGAATTTTGAAAGTATACAATTTAGCACGTAAACCAATGAATTCACTCATTATCTTTCTATTACATTCATCTTTCATGACGCCCAATTTCTTCTTATTTACAAGTGGAATTCCATATATATTATTAGCAGGATAATCAGATGTATCAAATCTATCAATATTATGTTGAATACACTCGTATATATCAGGAACTTTGAATTCATACAAAAGGCTATCTGTATCAGTGTACATTAGTTTTGCTTTGTCACCGAATTTCTTTTTTACATAATCACAATGGAAATCATAAATGAATATTTTCGATAAATCCAAAATGGAAAACCCGACATAGATTGGTTTGTTGAAGTACATTTGAGTACGACTCAATTGAATAATTACCAAATTCTCATCGTTATCAAAAACAGTACAACTGGAAATTTGGTAAAGCAATCAGAGCCCTAGCAAAGTACCTTCCATCCCATCTCGTAACTAACTTGACATCTTTTTGTTTTCGTACATTTTCTATGGTTTTTCCAAAGATCTAATAATTCATCAATTTGAAAAAATTCTTCTCGAATTCATTACTAGATTGTTTCCTCAATTCTGTATTCAAATCTATGTACGGTTTTAATCACTGTGCTTGATTAAATCTCAATGCGCAATGAATCCTCACCAATTTTAGTCCTAATTCCATACACTGTTTTAAATTCTTATAATGGATGATGTAATTTTTTTTTGGTAATAGAGTAGTAATTAGTTTCGAAATTTTTTTATTTGGAGGCTCAAAATGTTCTGGACAAAGTGGTAAATTTTTGTGCAACTCAAAGAGTCCTTCAGGATAATCTAAGTCAACTTCAAAGATATACCCTTTGTTTGAGTCATTGGGAATATTGATAACATCAATCATCGATGGATCTACCCATTCAAAGCAACCATACGGTAAGTATTGTGACATGGCTGCACCGTACAAATTGTTCACATCAAGATCATTCAGCTACACCTCCTCGGATACCTTTTTCAATGAATAAATGCATTTCAATATCTGTAAGAAGCTCAAGAGTAACCCCTGTACATTTGAGCATAGCGTCAAATACCGATCTCGGCGCTGTATAATAATGTAAAGGATCAAGTTTGTAAACAGAAAGACAATTTTTTCTGAAATTTTGAAAAATATCAGACAAAAGTAACACATCTGTTTTCAGATATAAATCTGAATATTCGCCCAATGATTTCATATTGAAATTATTCTATACTTTTTTCGCATGCGCATATTCCTCACTAGATATATCCTCATCATTTAGTTTTTAATAGAATTTGTCTCTTGATGGAAGTTGTGGTTCATTAAACTTATCCCAACAATCTATGTACTCATATGGAAATACTCCTTTTCTCATCAAGAGTTGGAATTTTTCCAAATCATTTCCACAATATTTTCGTGTAATGCATTTATCATCATCATTCAAATAAGATGCTAACTTCTCTAAATTACTCGCCATAAACCGAAAAGAATCGATGAACCGTAAATTCACTCTAGTTCCATGAACTTGTTTCGTGAATGCTATGTATTTTTCTTTGTTTATTGGTAATAAGTGGATCGATCCTGGAAATTTCACGGCCAATGATTTGATTAAAAAGTGTGAATCATAACCAGAAAGATTATGGGAAACAATTGGTATTGTATGAGAGTTTTGATAATTCAAATTACATGCTGGATGTGCGGGACCTCTATATTTCCCTGTGAAATGACAGTGGTCACGATGTTTACCATCAGTCTCAGTGAATGGTTTTTCGGAAATGTGACATACTTGTGCTCTGGTGTAATCTAAAACTTGTTCAGGTGTAAGCGGTTCCATCGGCACGTTCATATTTAAACAATTTTCGACTTCATAGGCAATTCTTTCTAATTCGTTCATGAACCAATCAATACAATCTGAACCTCGTTTCATCTTGAATTCAGATCGCTTATCATCGAAAGAACAATGCAAGTAAAATGCAGCGCTATGAGGAATATGCCTCTGATATAAAACATCGTCTCCAGTTGATTTCAGAATGCACTCAAGATCACCATATATCACAAATGGAACCATTTCTTTGAATTTATAATTTTTGAAATTGAGAAGGTTATTCCCTTCTTCTGGTAATAACATTTTACATTGATTGATTTCAAAGCAATCTTCCTTGTGATTTTCGAATGATTTTGCAGCGTTAAAATGACTTAAACAGCGATCACAAAACCATGAATGGTGTACATGATTCGAAATTTGTGAACTCAACAATCGAGAAAGATTTCGAATCCAAGCAAAGTGGTAGACTGGCTGCATGTCATGTTCGATTTGTACATCGTCACAAAGCAATAAAAGATGAATTACAGGCCATTCAGATTGTTTTTTACTTAAATAAAAGGGGACAATTTCTTTTTCTTCCATTCCATACACATTAATTGCTAAACCATTCATAGACTCGAATTTAGGAATCGTTTTCAACTCTATCGGAAAATTGAGGTTCTCATAATTCAGTTTGGTTATATTGTCGGGTAGAGTCTCAATTGAAAAGTGAGGATAAGAGCTCATCCGATCACAATATTGCGTAGAAGGATGGAGAGCTGCAGTAACTGCCCATAAGGAACAAAATTCATCATTGTTTTTTATGTTTACCACTGCTTTTTTAGATTGGATACGCTTGGGTAGTGGGATGAAGGTATTGAGACCCACTGCTAATGGTACATATTTGTTAATATTGATTATTAAGTTCATTATTTCCGTACACTTCCAACCCGAATCTCGCTCTAGAAAATCCTCTATTTTTGAAAGTAATTTCTCTGTCAAATTATCATCGAACCATTGTTTAAAATTTGTGGAAGGTAAGATCATTTCGTTTTTAGTATTAAAGTATTTAGTCGCCTCTATTTTTTCACCATTTTTTTCGACTTTGAATCTACATGCCAATTTTCCATTGACTTTAAGATTACCATGTCTCTGCAGAGCGTTCTTCAAACGTGGAACAGTCAATGACTTTGCATCTTTGAAGAAAGATTCGATATCTTTATGTTGTAAATTAACAATTGCTCTAGTTCTTATACGTCCTCTGAAAGCTGAATCAACCTCCTTCCACAAAACACGAGTGTTAATCTTTTTTCTTGATGATATGACATCGATTCTCCCCCCATGGTGAAGTTTCTTCTACTTGAATTTTTCACAAAAAACGTGAATATACCCGATTGTTGCTTGAAGTCGCATCTTTTCGTCAACATTCAGATTATCAGCTTTTTTTCGTAGTACTTTTCCGTAGAGTTTTATATAATAACGACACCACCTGATCCATTGGTTAGCCTCCACAGCAGTTGCATCTCTGTATACATTTTCAAGTATTGTCAATACTCGTAAACACGTTTTAGTATCCATAATATAGAT